AATCCCGTGAACAGGCTGGATGCATAGGTATTTTTGGGGGTTTTCCCCATGTGTAATGGGTATACAAGCAAGTTTTCCTCAGAAAGTCCTCCACGAAGCCATACCTCCCTTTAGACAGACAGCCCTTGAGTGCTTTGCCATAATAAAATAGACCAAACCAAAGTAAGGATTCTGTAACACTCTCTTAAAGGAAAAAAAATCCAAATTTCTTTCCTTAATGTCTTCACAGCATAGAAAAGCACAAAAAAACAGCAGGCAAGAGCCACAAGTTCAGCTCAGCACTCAACTAATATGAAGAGTGACATTTGAAGAAAGCATTTTGTCCTTTCAGTTAGTGAATGAGTTAGCAGTAATCAAACCTTCATACCATGGAATTACAGTGCTCTTTCCGCAAGTCTGAATCTCATATTTGTAGACAGCATAATCAGATTAGAAATAACACAATCAACCTTTGCTGCAAGTGTGGGTTTCACAAGCATTCCAAGAAGATTTCTCTAAAAATTTCTTAGCATCCAATAAATGAGTACCAAAGGATTATGACTAAATCACTGTCATTTCTAATTCTAATAATACAACCTCTTACAATACTTATTTGTTCAATACTGCCATACAAAAAAGGCTCAGGTATGAATAATGGAGAAGACATGGATGCTTGTAAGTGTATAGCATCTGTGTGCCAAAGGACACTCAAAATACATGGTGGACTGAAATTCTCTCGGTAAGTAAGTGGTAAGGGATGAGAAATATGAATAGGAGACCCTTGGAAAAATTTCAGATATAATGTAAAGCATTTAATAGAATCATTTAATAATTCTACATAAATCTTGATTGCAGATAATTGGTATGTTCTATCGCTTCATTTACGGAAGTAAAAGTTATCTTTTAAACACAGCAGAAAAGAACCTATAATCCATCACATGGATATGTAATGAAAAAATAAATATATAAGCATCTTAACTACATCTAGAATAAAACATTTTTTAAAACTGGAGAAAAGGGTAGTAGATGATAAAATGGCAGCAAGATACATCTGAATAGAATATCTAACTGGTTGCCTTTTTGGGGACAGGTGTGCAATATTTGCCACAAATGGCACAAATTTTACTTTAGAGTACTCCGAAAGCCACACATTACATTTCAGAATTGGCATTTTTTCTAAAACCTTTATACCTCTGTTCCATGATAATAATGACAAGTGAATATTTAAACAGAAGTATTGTAAATGCATCTGTACATTACATTGTAGTGCAAAATTGCAAGGCCTTCAACCAAAATCAATGTTTCATGACATCTGTAATTTGTCTTAACACATTTTTCAATTTTTAGGTTAGCCTAATTATTAAGAATTATAACTATTTTTTTAATTTCACCTGCTCATCGAAATCAATTGTTTTATTCAGTTGAATATCAATCAACCCATAATAAAAAGAGTTTCCAAGCAAAAGTTGAATTGGGATTGTCCAGTTCTTGATTGATGCATCAAAAGAAAAACAAAGAGTACAGAAATGTTCAATTATGTTAACTGCAAAACAGTTTAAGTGCATCAGAATGACCATATCAAGACTGGAGACATGCTTCCAATAATTGTTGAGATGAATCTTATGCTAATGTTGAATCTTTGAAAACAAAACTGTGGACCTAAATGCAAAGACTATTGAGAAAAACTCTTTAAAACATATTTTTCTTAGTAGAAGAGGCTCCACAGAAGCAGTAAAAATATAGCTTTTGATAATATTTCTTCCAAAATACTGCATGTTTCTGTCACTTCAACAAATTATGCTGGAAGGAGTGAAGAATGATGGCTTCAATAATTTTTAAGCTAACGCATATAGGTAAAGCAAAGCTTTGTAGTCATTTACCTATAAATTTAAACTGCAGTAATGAAATTACTGAAAAATCCAAAAACTATTTGAACACTCAAAACAAAAGTCAGGAGAAATCTTTTTAATTTATTATTTTATGATAACAAATGTTGTGTTCTAAATTTATTTTCTTTTGCTACTATTATTAAGGGACAAATTAAATACTTCAATTGCTACCTACGTGGAGGGAGTATTATTTACAGCCCATATCTGAAGCTTAGAAGTACACAATCAGATGTCTACAATTTCATTAAATAATATAAAAATTAACACTTTAATCAACTACTGATATTACTGTACACTTTGTTAAAAGAAATACAGAAAGTTGATACAAGAAGATCAGGAATATTGTTTTATATGACTGTTCACACTCAAATTTGAAATTCACATCGATGTGTTACATGTTCTCAGATATCTCATTTCTGCTTCTATATGCAAAATTTACCTTTAACTAATTACTGTTCCATAATTCCTCCTGTTACCTATATATGAACCCCGTACTAAGAGAGGAAGAATGACAATTCATCATTCAATAGTCAAATAGAGGCATGTAGGCTCCCTTCCACATGCTCTTCTACTGCTACAATTAATACATCCATTTCACACTAATGATTTCTTGTTTGATTTAAAGATAGAATTGTCAAGAAACTCTGCTCCTAAATTGTTCCCTAATCTCAAAATGATTTCTAAAATGTGATTTGAATTTTTTATATAACTAAATACTCACTGAACTGAATTTTATATGTCACTTCAAAAGAAAAAATTCTCGCTCAAGTTATCGAAAATGCTGCTGTGAGCTAGATATACTGCTCTGACAACTTGCAACAGAGTAAACTGTAAGCCATTCATCAGTGAAAATTTTTCTGAAAATATTAAATATGTACTTTCACTTTCCTTTGTTAGTTAATAGTTATGGTTCTAGATTACCCTATTAATTACATTCGATTTAGCAATTTTCCGTTTCCATTCTCTCTATAAACATAAAATTGAATGGCTGTAGGCAAAATGCAGATTTGGTCAAAGCAATCTGCAGTAAATGTAAGGCACATTATTCAAGTGTGTTGATTGTTGATCATAGCATCAAAGTATAAAATGATATGTTAAAATTATACAACAGCTTACTAAAATTTTAATCACTAAAAAAAAGCTTATACTATAATATTGTAAGAATAAAAGGAGAAATGATACACTTCACGCATATGACATTACTTTTAAAATACAGGGTATTTTCATTAACTAACAGATTACAGAAAATATAGGTAGCATGCTTTAATATGTTGTAAGCTGTATTTCTGAACATAAAATAGAGATTTAAAAAAAAAAAAAAAAGAGGTTCTGCAAACTCTTCCTGCTGATAATTTTAATGCAAAACAACTATTCATTAGCTTTAACCCAAATGGTTTTTTAGGATTTAATGATACTGCAAATTTAAGCAAATGCTTTTCGACGCATTTAATTTATTTTTAGTTTTTAACATTACATTCCATATCTGATTTCTTGTTTCGTTATAAATGCTCATATATCTGTTTCATATTTGAGTTTTTTTTAAAATATTTTATAGTTTAATAAGCTCAATTCAATGCGCAACACCTTCAGAATTTTGTAAACAGATTAAATAAAACTTATGATATCACCTCCTGAAATTCACTACACTTAATAACAAAAAGAATTCTCTCTAACAGCAGAAGAAACTCTCACTCATATACAATGCTCTAACAGCAGTGGTCTGCATGTGAGCCTAACACACAATCTGAAAACAGCAGACGCACAGAATTTTTTTAAACAAAATAATAATAATAAAGGACAAAAATTCAAATTTGTATTTATTTTCTATCCAAAATCTAAAATATGGTGCTATCAAAACTTTTTTGTTGGTTACACTTTGGTTACAAATATACTGATAGCTAAATATTAAATTCTTAGACTGGCATTCCTTTTAAATAATTCCAAGATGTCTACATAGGTGTTAATAATGAAATCTTTGAGAAAACATACCAAGTGGAACAAAACTTGAGAAAAACAATTACAACTTAGTCTCTTTCTTTTAATTATTAAATTTTTCTTCGATGCACAAATAAAAAATGCATGTTTGCATATAAATAATTATAAATTTATTTACTTCTTACTATAGCTTGACACTTGATGGCATTTGGATTCTGATAAAGTTTGCAGCCTTGGAGTAAAATTACTAGAAATTATTGAATCTCGTTGTACATGCTCATCAGTCAATTGGTTTCTTATCAATTTTCATTGGATATAAATGTATTCTCACACAAGGCAATTATTTTTATACCTTAATTTCATAATTAAGGCTTATTTATTTATTAGTAAATTTATCCCTTTTAGCAATGCCTGCTAGACGGGAAATTCACTGTGATTCCCGTACCAAAGGGCCCAGGTACAAATCCCAGACAATGTATGGATGTAAATTGCCCAGCTTCTTATAGGAGGCAATGCTAGCTTTCCTATTAGGTGCCTACAATAATAAAGTGACTCTCGCTTCCCGCCTTAATAGTGGCCAACACCTATATATAGCTAGGGGCCACCATTGAAAAATAAATAAATATATATTCAAATTCTTCCAATATTAACATTAAAGAGAAATTGTTCACAGTTTTAAAACATAATCGAAAAGAATTTGATAATTTTAGCATTAGGAAATGATTACACCTACTCAAAATGCAATTTGATAATTTTAGCATTAGGAAATGATTACACCTACTCAAAATGCAGTGCTATGTCAAATATTTCAAAGATTTTTCAAAGTCAACTATATTCAACTAAATAGTTTAAATAATAAATGTCTAACTTCCCATATTTACTGTTAAAACAAATTTTAGCATTATATAAATATATAAAATGAAATAACATTGTTAATAGCTTAAATACACAATAGGTGTGTAGTTTCTGAATTATGGTTAAAGAAAATTATCTTTTATTTATCTCAAGCATAAACAAACTTAAAATTATACATTATTTCTTGTCTTAAAAATAACAAAACAAAAAAAAGTATGATGTAACAAAATTTCAATTTCTATGCGTTTCGAGACACATTTTAAGGCACCTCAATTTCTTTTTAGCTAGCAGCATTTTAACAAATAAAATTTCAAATTAATGCTAGTACTTTACAAAGCTTACCTGTGCAGCCGGGGCTACAACTCTTGCATCACTATTGCTCTCTACATCATTGTTCTTTGTTCCATCTAAATTCTCTAAAAACATAAAATTTTAAAACATGAATTCTAGTGCATCAGTTGCAATTTACAAGTTTTAAAATATAAACATAACTGAATTTGCAGAAAAATTAACATGGTTTCTGATAGGGAAATTTAACAAATTTATATTTTGGAGCAGAACACTGTTTACTACTACATACTTTATATAATTCTGGAATTCCCCCTTGCATTACTATTATCTTTACTCAGAACATTACATACAGAAGCATAAACTTTTATCACTAAAAGAAAAATTTCAGAAAAATATTAACTTTTAATGATCATAATGAAAGTTTATTGCACTGAGTTATTGGCTGAAAACAAGGGGTAGTGAAATGGTTTTCTCAGAAATAAACTTTTTCTACGTATGTTTATTTTAGAAAGAGGAAAAATGGTTTAACTATTCAATTTATACAAAGCACAAGGACTATCTTTCTAGGTGCCTTCAAATCACCAAGAACATCTTCCAGGGAATGGAATTTGCAGGTCATAACCCCCTAACCTATCACTAACCTCTACACAGAACTTTTAGCTACAGAATTTAAGCTCTATGTTTAAGCTCATTAAGACACTACATCACGGGTTTTTAACCTTTTTTTATCCCATGCATCCTTTCACAGTTAGTAGATCACTGAACCCCCCTTCCTTTCCAAAATTTTAAAAATACATATATACATTTATTTAGTTTGGATATGTATGAATATTAGAAAAGGTGATTCAGTGAATTTTTCGATAGCAACTTATAATGGATATAGGTTACCTAAAGAACTGTTATGTGCATGATTGGCAGAATTTAAGGGGACATATGACATAAAAATTTTCAAATTTTCAATTTTGGGCTAAAAAAATAAAGTAGCTTGAGGCGATTTCAAAAATATGTAATTTATCCCTATTTAGAAATTTTAACACCAAAATCTTTCATTAAAAAATATAAACAAGTCCACCAGTTGGGAAGGGACAGATGTCTGGTGTGGCAACAATAAAGCCATATCAGCTGATAAAAATTATGTTCATAAACAATCTTTGTTAGAACATGTTTTATTAGCTGAAAAGAATTCTTCAGAAGTATCTCTGACAAAAAGCTACTGTCAAATCCCATTCATGGAAAAAGTCAAAACCAACCAGTATAGTGGTTAGCGATGCTGCCACGGCAAAGAGCCCGTGTTCGAATCTCGGAGAAGGCATTGATGTTTGTAAATGTATAGTGTCAGTGCTGCATGAAAGCACCCGAAAGTTCCCTCGAGAGGTGGTGGTAGGGGAAGAAGGGTGGGAGACCTTCTGACCCGCCCCCCTGGGGTGCTCTCCACCAAAACTGGGGGTGGAACTGAGCTAAATCGCACTGTCACCTGTAAGGTGCTCAAGACTGTTGCCAACGACAGGTGCTTCTTGTGTTGTTATATGTCATACAAGTGAACAACAACTCAAAACCTGAATGAAAGTTTTAATAATTGCATCTCTACACGCATACCAAAAACTGTTTTTGTGAATATCTTCACATTAAAATTAGGTTTATTAGATGCAGTAATATGTTTTAATGACAGTGTAGAAAGTTGCAATAAATAATGGAATTATTGAGAATACAACCAGGGTTTTATGTGGTAAAGTTTTTGCGAAAATAGATTGCGATAGACTTCGTGAGGCCCACCTCGCTTACCAAAAGCTCTCTAAAATGGCTAGAAAGAAACATAAGCTAATAAAACAAAAATAACTAGATGCAGAAATGCTAGTTCAAGATGATTATGGTGCAGGAAAATGTTAAACTGATTTTTTTTTTTTTTAAATTATTAGTGTTTAAATTGTCTTTATAGTCTTTCTCAAAACTTGTTTTTTTAAACTTTCAGTACACTTTTCTTGAAAACTATTCAGCATAGAAGGTTTAAATTTTCCACAGTTATTTATCTTAACTATTTCTTTGAAACTAAGTAAGATATAAAATTCATGATCATTAAGTTTTGGATATATTAAAAATTTAATACAATTTTTTTCTACGATTTTCAAAACATTTTACTAATTTATTTTTAATATTTTTTCTTTTTAAGTAAAATGTAAAATACTGCTTATTATTCTTAAATGATGTTTTTAACCATCATGCAAAATTTGAAGAAGTGTCTTAAGAAAAGTGTACCAAACTAGCACACTATCACAGAAGATTCGTTGAAGGTAAGAGAAATTAAACAACTGGTTTTTAAAAACATTAAGTTTTAAATTTACAATTTATGTGCTTTTTCAAAACAAACTACAACTACAAAATTTTTCCTTGGTTGAGAAGCCCCTGCATTAGACAAACATAAATATTCGTATCATATCTGGGATTCATATTTAAGCTAACGGACATGGAAATTAGCCTCTGCTCATTGCCATATTGCCAAAATGACAATTTGGGAAGAAAAAGAAAATGAATGTATAAATGGTTTTCTATACACAAAACATTACCACCTAAGGTCTGACCAAATAATTTAATTATAAGAAAGAGGGTGGAGTGCCTTCCTCCCCCCCCCGCCAAGTAAATTTGCCAATATTTATATTATATATGGAAAGACCTCACCTCTGTTACACACAGCTAATTTCTTTCACTGTTTGAAATTACCAGTGTTATCTGACTACAACCATGTTATCCTCGGCGGGCCTATCTTTCAAGAAATGTATGCCTTGTGGAGAATCTTTCTGACCTCTTTATTTAACATACATATGGTAAATCATTATGCTACAAGTCCATTTAAAATGGCGAAATCACAATACAAGCATAACATAAGATACAATCTCAGCAAATGCAAAGATATCTTCAATATGTTCGCTACTCTTTGTTTGCCTGCATAGTGTAGGTGAAAAGTGTCAAGGTGAAATTTACAAATGACTATTTAACCCTTTGTGGCACAGTGTGTCTGGTCTGGACACACCTAAAAATTTCCTTCTATACGCACAGAAAAATTGAATGAAAAACGATTTATAGGTTACTCTGAACCTTCTATATTTATAGTAGATGGCAGCTTTTAAGACCTTCATTTTTCAAAGAAATGTTCCAGATTTTTTTTAGGGTATAAAAGGAATTGTTTGAAAAGAAATTGCTATGTTATTTTTTTTTGGGGGGGGGGCTGTATGCTAATCTCCTTATTCTATATCAGTTTTAAATTTTTATCTTGAAATTTTGCCTAAAATCAAACGGCGAACTGTAAGTGTGCCCACTAGGACAACTGAGTCTGTATTCTTTGTTTCTCCGCATCTCATCAGTCAGTTCATTGACAACAATGCTTGTTTCAGCACTCTTTTCGAAGCTCTATTCAATCAGTGTGCCCACTTTGGGCACACCCACAGAATTAAATGATGAGCGCTATCTTCACAAAATTTTACTTGTGTACTCATCTAGGCCTAATTAGACTGTCTACCCTTTTTTCTTTAATCAAAACTCCACCGACACGCTACCTTTTAAAAGGTAACATGCCGGAAAGGGTTAATGGACTGCAGCTATCATGCTGCACATTTTTTTCCCCTTGATGAGCTGCAGGTTAAGTTTCTTTTAATGCAAATCACAATATTTTACCTTTTCCCCATTATATTATTCTTTATTGCATTATTGTTTTAAGATTTACAAAATTCATCCCCAAATTATATATACATACTTGCCAACCTACGACACTAAAAAACCAGGAGATTTTTCTCAATGACAAAAGGAATTTTTAAATGATAAGAATATTTTTTTAATAATGAATCAACTTTAAATAGTTAATAATAATTAATATCTGAAAGCTCAGCTACTAATTTTTAAATTCAAACAGTACAAAAATACTTGCATGTAAAAAAATTTTCATTATTTGCATCTTTTAACAAAAAAAAAAAAAAAAACTTTAATCAGTTTTCAGACAAAAGCTATGAACAGGGGCAGATTTTGCTTTCATTAAAAAAGAAAATTATAATTTTGCAATTCACAGCAATTGCTGCTTAAGCCTGCATTTATTTATAAAAGTGCCATTAATAATAATAGATGTAAATTTAGTCCAAGTCTCAACTTGTTTTCTCAACACAAAATCCTCTCGAACTCTGCATTATTATGGAGAATCATAAGGATGGCCAACATTATTCTACACAATTCATTACACTTTAAAATTCCATTAAGACCTTTTAGTTTTTCAATTAAACTCCAATGGGTGTCAATCTTAGCTGGTTTTATAAATTTATCCTTCTAATTATAAACTGCAATTTATCAGTTGCAAAATCAAGATCCTCATTTTTTATGACTTAGACGAAGTAAAACTGTAAATATATTCAAAAAATATCTTATATCAGAAAAAGCTGCATTTGCTGGAGCAGAAACATCTGCAAATCTAGCATGTAATATCACTTCATCATTAACTGGAAATTTATGTACTTCTGCCAAGTATGTAATCACATACTCAGCAGAAGTAGCTTCTAACATGGAAATAACACTTATTTTTGTTTTAATATGAAAGTTCTTTTCCCTTTTTAGTTGCATCACCTATTAGTGAATTGTTGCCTTTCTTCTGATTTTCTATTTCACCCTAAATCATACCATATATATAGAATTAAAAGCCAAAACAAAGATTGGTTTTACAAACTTAGATAAAATGTCTTTGAAATAGATAATAAATCATGAATTGCATAACATGAATTAATGGAATTCTGCATTTTAGAAATGTGTTAAGAACACTGAATGATGGCAAAATGAATTTTACAAAAACAGCAAAAAGCTTTGTTAACGTCCGAAGACAAAAACATAAATATTTGTTCTTCACATGATAAATTTACAGTAATCAGAAAATGTCCCTCACAAATGCAGAACTTACATTTTATTTCAAAAATTTAATTATGCAAACTGAAATGCCATTTATTCCTCGTCCCCCCCCCCCCACAAAAAAAAAAAAAAAAAAGTGCAAGAGAAACACTTTTAAATGAAATAGATTATTTAAACTGAAATGCAGAAAACTTTTTTAACAAAATTACCATACTCCCCTCCCAATTTTCAGAAATATTTTAACCAAAAG